AAAGTGGATCAAGAAACATCACTTATCACGAGAAATAGTCAAACATCTCAACTTTAACAGTTCACTACGTCTTGACCCAGGCGGTGTGCCTGGTCTTGACCCTTAAACTCCCAGAAATGATTAACATGTAACTTCTCCCCAAAATATCCATACATTATCCAGTAAACAGGTAATGAGAATACTCAAATTTATCAGGTAGAAGTTGTTACCTTGATTAAACACCAAACTCTCACAACCAATTTACAAGGAAATGTGTTGCAGCTAGAGGGGAGAATTAACAATCCGATCTACGGAGTAAAAGTGTTGCCAACTGCCCGTTAGCCAGCGGATTCTACCAAAATCGAACTTAGTCCCCCACAGTCTAGAGACAAAAACATGTGCTCGTCTGACCAGCCATCTTGTTGTGTTATTGCGTAGTTTTCGGATCACTAATTAAAACCTTTGCTGTTCCCGCTCGTTGTCCAAGTTTTATTTTGTTCGGATAACTTTCGTCACAAAAGGGTTAATCATTATGTTGTACTCTGAGGCAAAAAAAAATTACTTTTACACTGCCTCTCGAAACCCAGGAGTATATATGGGTACAGGTGGGGGAGGCCTGATGAAATACTGGGGGGTGACCTTGTGACAAACTGGCACCCCACCAAGGTGGGGGAGGTGTAATATTACTAGTTACGTCATATTAAGGACACCAGGTTAGACTCCAGTGGTGTGGACCACTCTGTTCCAGTACAGACTTCTCCTATCTTTCTTTTCAATGATCAGTATTTTTTAGGTACATAGCTACTGATAATAATAAAATGAAAGTAATCTCTGGTATTAAAAAGTTGCTCATTCATCAAAAAGTCACCTGTAAGTCAGACATAGTTGTAGCAAAACATGTTCATGTTGTAGGCTGATCCTTTCCTCTAACGTAAGCCACAGAATATGCTTTCCTTGCATATTTTTCATCCTTGAAGCCGGTGGCATTTTAAGGGAACTTTCTCCATGATGGAGGATTTCTGTTGCTTTAGTTATGAGTGAAAAATTTTAGCCCCATCCAGTTGAAATACATGAAGAACACAAACACAGGTATGGAGGTTGGTACCAGAAGGCCAAAGTAACATGGTGAGTACTGGTTGAGACAAGACTCTGGAAAATCCTGAAACAATAAAAAACATGCCATGATAAGGATAATGCATCTTTACTTAGCTGGAGTTTCTTAAACGTTTTAGAGTGACTAGCACCCCATTTCTCTTCACCATAAAACCCCTTAATCAAATATTAGGATCACAAGAATAAGCTCTGATTGCTAAAGAAATTCTCCATGTCAACACCTTAGGAAATGTGTAGAGAACAGTATGGAGAATATGGTATTGCATACTGATGTTAGGGTGTAAAGGGCATGATGGGGGTTCTTAACCCATGTTTAGGTATGGGGATGCTGCAGAGGGTTTCAGAACAAGAGACAAATTACACAGTCTCTTGTTTTAAAGGAATTTAAGCTGTATAAGAAGCCATTCTGATCAGATAAATCATGTTTGGTGGGTCTAAAACTCCGTTATTTCCTCGTGACAGTTGAACTAAACAAAAGGCCATCACGATCTATTCTGTCAGTCTCTGCTTGTTATAATACTGATAAGTGGAAATATAATTTAAACTAAAGGATACTGAAAACAATAGCATTCTCATCCAGAAAATGATCTGATGTTGATGGATGACATTTCGTGGCCGGTTAACAACTCTTGGCTCATAATATCATATGAATAAAGGCTGATAGTTTCGAAAGAAACTGTTTGGGGCTGCGTCGGTGGGAGTAACGAAATAATTTGGATATATCAACAAAGTTGAAATGGTAAATTGGCCACCGTAATGATTACAAAAGCTGACGTTTCGAGCGTTAGCCCTTCGTCGGAGCGAATAGAGGAATTGTGGGTTGTGTGTGCTTTTAAAGGCAGAAAATGGAGCTACGTTATTGGTGGGTGCATGGCAACGAGAAAAACATGAATAAATTAGTGGAATGAAAAGCGTTCATTGATCCCTGTGGGATTTAGACTGCCGGTTTGAAAGATGAGCTTTTGTTCAAGATTTTTACGGCTTTCCGTGCCACCTAAGTGCAAGGAAAGACCGCAGATTGCCATATGTTGCTTAGAATGATT